AACACAAACACACACAAACACAAACACAAACACAAACACAAACACAAACACAAACACAAACACAAACACAAACACAAACACAAACACAAACACAAACACAAACACAAACACAAACACAAACACAAACACAAACACAAACACAAACACAAACACACACAAACACAAACACACACACACAAACACAAACACAAACACACACACACACACAAACACAAACAAAAACACAAAGAAACACACAAAAACAAACACAAACACACACACACAAAAAAAAAAAACGCACAAAAAAAACGCACACACACACACGCACACACACGCCAACACATATTCATACAACACAATGGGCTCTGGATCCATAAGAGACACACACACACGGCCCTTCCGCATCTCTTCCGTGGAAGCCCATGCCATGTTTCGCCGGGAAGTTCGGAATACAAACCAAATACAGTTTTGTTTCAACAACCCCGATGTATACATGGAAATGGCGGCATGCTGGCTTCTACCTCCCCTTCAATTTCAACTAAGGGCTGAGGAGAGAGCCAGCAGTGTTTCGGGTCCGCCGATTGTTCTAATTTCGGAAAGGGACCTACCCCACTCATTCCAAACTCGACCTCAACGCTCACCAAAATGAACTGGACTGGTTCCACCTCGCCCTTCCCGGGCTGGGGGGCAGGTGATCACCGAATCGCATTTCGAGTCAGAGCCGCTCCTGCACACCTGTGATGGCCTGGTCAGACGGATGCCACTACCGCGCAACAGGTCACAAACCGCAGGGCATGGGGGTCCTTGAGGAAATAGATGGGTTTCCCGGTAGATTTAAACCACCAGGTAAACCAGGGCCATCTATTTTTCTACCCAACAACCAAAACGGACACTTTTTGCACGAGAGGATCCCTTCTAGCGGAATTCGTCTTGGACCCTGCAGGTTTCATGGCACTGGGATTCGCCGTTTCGCAGCGACTCGCCTTCTCGTGACTCACCTTTGGCCCAGGGTGTGGCTGCCTCCAAACGCCGCAGCTTTGAGCAAAGCTCAAGGCGCACCACGGATGATGTTAGCTTCGGATAACTCCGGACCGTGCTGATCAGGGGATTTGGGGGTGGTTCCCCTGTTGACAAAGCACATGATCCCTTTTTTGGGCTTCCTCTAGCCCTCCGCGCTCCGAAGATAACATGGACAACTGCACCCTCTAAGCGTCGGGCAATGGCGGCAGCTCAACCGCCGTCTTGGACTTGGACATGGCCCTCTTATTGTTCCGAGCTCCTTTGCCGACTTCTTATGACATGAAGCAGCGCTGCACGAAAGACAGAGGCCCTGCTTGGTTGTCCTCTGGACAAAATAATTAGGGCACATACTGGTAGGTTATCTATCTCAGTATTCTTAGGGTTTCACGCCAACTGGTGCAGGATTTTGTCCATCTAAGCTAGGTCTACTTGAGTGACACAGCCAAGTATCCACGGTTCTGCTTGAAGAGCATGAGGGTCAGGTCATCACAATACCTTATGCAAGAAAACCATTCTCCGTGCATCTGTTGCAGAACGTCACCGCAATCTGAGTCAAGTTCAATGGGGTTGGACGAACTGCATGTGCTCCAATGTTGCACCCCGCCCTACTTTACCCTGACTGAAGCGTTTTGCGCCGCAATGAGCACATGCAACCACACCATCAGCGCTCAGAGTGCATGTTTGCCTGAATCAGAGCATGACCACCCCGGGCAATCACCACACCCATCCTGGAAAGGCTGCCGTACTTCCTCTTTCCACATGGGTTGGTATGGGAAGGCAGGGGGTACTTTCACCCTTGGGAACATAAATCCGAACAAATCCGCCCATGGAACCCGAAAGGGACCAACCCCCGAAACTGCGGCATTTCCTCACATCAAATCCGAAAAAAACTCCACCCAACCCAAAATCCACCCAGCCAAAAACCAACCAAAAAACCCACTCAACTCTCCCAGGACCTGCAGGCGAGGCTCATGCTCAAGTCTCTCTTTGACCTACGCTGCAGGATCTGCGCCAAAGGCACCAGCTTCCTGCACGCCGCTGGCTATGCCGCCACTGTGGCTTCAAGGGGTATTGTTGCTGGATTTCTTTTTAGGTTCATCAATCTTTTTTAATTTTAGGTTCATCAATTTTAGGTTCTGTTTAGGTCCAAAAATGTACAGTGTACAGCCACGTTAGATGTCCAAAGTTAAATGTCTGTGGCTCAAAAAGATGTACCCAAAATGGCAGGTAAATGGAAACAAAGACCAAACCCTGCGTATTTCTAGCTCTTTAATTTTGAGCCACACCCATATGGATTTGGCTCCGCCCCAGAATGTTGTTTTTTTGCTTGTTTTCCTTTGACCTCAAAAAGGAAAACCAATGAAACACACGCCCAAATGCATCTGCTCCTCACTTGAAAAGGAACCCTTCGGGAAATGGACCCATTCCTTTTCTTGTGGGGTCCGGGGGCCAGCGTTGTTTCTGCGGACGCTCCACGAATCCAGCCCGGCGCGCAGGGCCTTGCATTTTGGTTCGGCACACTCCTCGGGAGGCAAACTTGCAGACCAAGCAAAGCTTTCCTGAGCCCCGCACCCCTGCTGGTTGCTCAGCTCACCTGCGACAAGTCCGGACCGGAATCTTTTGGACCAAACGTGGGTTTCCCTGTGGCTCCCTTGAAGCCGCCATTCTGTTGTTTCCTTGGTGTTTTCGGAAGTTGGCCTCATCCATTTCGGTTGACCTGCGATTGTCCGATTTGTTTGTTGTTTGAAGACCATCCGAAGGGCGCTGTTGCCGTGAGAAACCGAGCCAAAAACTGTTGCGCGGGCCTGGGAGACTTTGCAGCGGCAGCGGTGGGATGTTCACCGCCGGCTTCTGCCTTCTCGCAAAAAGAAACAAAAACAACAACAAAACAAGACGTGGGCGGTCCTTTTTGAGGGACACCTCTCCTGCCTGGTTTTAAGGGGAATAGGGAAACGAACCAGCTTGGGGGTCCCACTTTGAGACCAACCCCCATGGCCAGATTGCGATGGTCTCTTGCTCCGCAGGTGGTTTGGTGACATGGGTGTGGGTCAAAATGAAACCAGCAAACCGCCTGTTCTAGTCATGGGTTCCATTTACCAGGGCGCATGTCCCCCATAGCGGAACCGCGCTTGAGCACCAGGCGTTGATGGCGCAGGGAGAACTCCCACGGCGTCTGAACCCACCTCGCCAGAAGTAAGCAGAACTCAGCTTCCTGTTGCAATGCGAATGGGAGGGCTCAAACCCCTCAGACTCCGCCCCCACCCCCTCCCCGCCATTTCCTCAATTGTGACTAGGAAAGGAGCAGGATTGTCTCCAGACCTGGAGATTCTGAGATAACGTACCTGTCGGATCCAATCTAGAACCCCCATTGGCTTGCAACTCACCCTGTGGACGTTGTGTAAGGCAATGCCAAGCATGCGAATGCTCCGAGGGCAAGGCTTTGTTGTCAAAATCTTCTTCCTCCTCCTCATCCTCATCCTCCCGCCTGATGCTCGCTAGGTTAAGCCTTGGTGCGATGCTCGAGTCTTGGTTTCAGGGCTCTATTTGAGCAGCACAGACTCATTGTGCTTCTGGCAAGGCCTTGTCAAATACTAAAGCAGGTAGAACAACTTCCGGAATGGCTGAAACTGGGGGGCTTTGGTGGGTGCTCATTTAAGTGGTTTACCAGGTAGACTTGAACACGTTCGGGGGATATCAAACACTGATTTGTTTCTTTCTTTTTTTCCGTGTAAACCAACAAATGGGCTCGCCTCGGCAAAGGATTTGGACCCCCCCAAAATGGAGTTTCGGTTTCCTTTTGGGCTCCCTTCAGAAGCAAACCAAAAGAGAGTACCTCAAAACAACAGCTCCCCGGGCTTCTGAGCTGTTCCTGGGTCATGGACTTTGGAACACGAGGTCTCGCCCCTGACGCCGCTTGACACAGCTGCCGGCAGGCCGCGTGTGTTTTGTGCTGCGAGCTGATCATCACAGATTTGGCTGTGGTTCAAAACCAATGGTACGATTTTGGGGTAGGTGGACCACCCATTTTAGTCTATTTTAGTGGGGATTTGGATGTTCACTGGGGGACAGGATTTTGACCCATGGCCATTTCATTGCGTGATATGGTTAAAACTCCTGTGGGTCATGGCTGGCTTTATAGAAATCCCTTGCATTGATTGTCTGCAGCCCTACCAAGGGATTCATGAACAAACCCTAACCCAACACCAGGTCGTTTGAACATGGCATGCACACATCAAAGCCTGGTTCTCAGGGGGTTTACCTGCAGTCAGTGCAAAATACTGCGTTCACCAGAAAGGGAGTCTACCCACGATGTGGGGGGAGAAGAAAAGCGGCGGCACCTATTCATGGCTCCGATTGCCCTTTAACCTTCACCTACCTGGGTGCTGACTGTGACTCAAGTCCAGCCTTCCTGCCCAGTCGCATTTGACGACTTCTCCTGTGAGCTGCAGGGGCTTACCCCTGCTTGGTGTTGAATGGAAACTCAAATCTGGAAACCCAAAACGCCGCATACCATGTTCAACTCTTTTGGCTTGCCCTAAGGGAACAACAGACCAGCAGGCCTTGTCTGCATCCACATCAATGCTGACCCCAAAGATGGCCGCGATGTCGCCCGGAGTCAACCTCTCCAATTGCCTGCAGGTCGAGGTCGCAAACGCAACGACTGCGCTATCCAATTGCGGCACGGACAAGCCGCCGGGGGCCAATCGAATTCGGCTCTTGCCTCTGGGTGGAGTTCGGAGTGCGACGAGCCTGCGGTCCCATTGGATTTTTCGATTTCGGCCAAACCACGGGTTCCCGGAAAACAGGTATCGTCATACAACACATGGCATGACTCTGCCTCATAAACCCCCTGGTCCTGGCGGTTTCGACGGCTTTGGGCGGGGTTGCCCCACTCATGAGTCCTCTTTGGAGGCCAGCTGCCGGAGAACGCTCTCTGACCAGGCTTCCAGGTCCTGCAAATCGTGGGTGATTGCGACATGGCTTCAATATGGGTTGTGTCTTGTTTCGAAATTCCACATGCAAACAATACTTTTCCGGGGCGCTTAATCCTTAGAAAAGCCCCAGCTGCGTCTTACTAGCTTCCCACTATCAAGATTGGATCCCCGTGATGTTGGAGAGATTAGCAAGGACGTGTGGAAGGAGTCCCACAAACATCTCCCCCACATCCGCAAGCTTGATGCCTCTGAGTGCAACCCTGCCTGAGACTTTTTTGCGGACCTGAGCATTGGCACAGAGTTCACAGTATCGGTAGTAAAACATGATGGCGGCATGGCATCGCAAGGACTTAGATCACGACGATTCTCTGGAGGATAGTCCCTGACCACTGGCCACTCATGCAAGTTATCTAGCCACTCTAGCGCTCGACAAACATATCAAACTGGGCATGCACAAATGGAGATGCGTACCTTGAACGCTGCCCTTGCATGAGCTCAAGCTGTCACTCTAAGACCATGTCCTGACTAGTAAGCGGGGAGGTTGCTGGTGGTGTGGTCGCCTCATGGCGACAAGCAAGAGCAGTTTGCATCGGGTGCCATCATATGTGCCATGGGCAAAACTCCAAGTCATAGGCATGGTTAGTTTTCCTGGCAATTCTTATGGTGTCCATTCCCAAAAACTTCCAGGCCTGACACATCTGATTGCAAGTTGAAAGTCCGCCGAATGCCAAGCTGCAGGGGATGCCAGTTGACTTCCTGGATGCACTCGCAGGGCAGAGTTGCCCTGGCAAAGCCCGGCATCGCAGCTGGGACCGGAGACCTCTCTTTGGCCCTGAGGAGCGTAGCCGCTCAAGTAACATACTTTGACAACATGTGCTATGTCCAATGCGCGGTCACTTCGCACAGGACCGAGTACCGTGAAGATTCAGTTTTTTTGCTGTGGCAATTTTTTGGCATACCCGCCATGCCTGCAGAAACCTTGCAATGAACGATGGCAACCGTGCTTGCCATAGCAATAGGCAATCATTTTGACAATTGCTTGATGCTCGCGTGAAGTCTCCCCCCCCCTCCGAGATGCGTAAACATGAGCCGTCTCCCACTTAGAACTCAACCTACCTTGAGGTACCTCAGACCAGAGCCCTAGACGCAACCCTCCCACATTCGCAGAAGCTTTTCGGGGCTCACCGGGGCGTCAGCATACCTAGCTTGTGTTGGGCTGGGGGCAAAATCAAACCACCTTGCTCGTGAACAAGGGCCACTTAAGCTCCGTGGCCTGCCTGCATGCCTCCTTGCCTCCTTGATTCCCATTTGCCTGGCTTAGCTATGTCCTTGCCCTTCCCCTCCTGCAGACCTCCGCCCTTCCCAACTCCCTCTGCTCATAAGTCCGTTACAAACATCAATACATCATCCGACAGTATTATTCTTTGTGCTCATCTCTATCAAACTTTCAGAACAAACACATCTCATGCTCTTTGGGACCGTCTTCAACGGTCAGGCATTGCATTCCGCATGGCCTCCAGGTTGCCAGAGCTCCTCCTGCCTGGCATGCAAACACAAAAAGCCATGTTCAACGCCAAGTTGAGTCACAAAAGCCGGCATGGTCTTCCAAGATCCTGCAAAACCAACAAGGCAAATATCCGCAGGATTGTCCCTTACCCGAAGTTAGGCTCAGTGCCTGAGCTCTCTGGAGAAGCGGCCACAGTCCTAGCGAATTTTCCCCGAAAAAGCTGCCAGCAGCTCAGCCAGCTGCACTGCACTGAGCCAAGGACCAGTTCGACTCAACCTGAGCTGGACAGGTTGAGTACAAGTGACTCAAAATTGGAGGCCGAACAAAGGAGGTTCCCGAAACAAACAAACACGCAAACACACAAACAAACAAACAAGCAAACAAACAAACAAACAAACAAACAAGCAAATGGACAGGCAGGCTGGCTGGCACACAAGCACACACACACACATATACTATGCAACAAGATTGGAATCGCAACCTGCCTCTCCAAGTCCTTGCTGGAGAAGGGCTCTTGTGAGGCTGTTGGCAAACGGCGTGTAGGGCCTCGAGCGAGCAGACGGAGCGCTGGCGGGCTGGCGGAGCGCTAGCTCAACAGGTCTCCAACAACCTGTACTTCGAAGGCAACATAATGATCTCCATCTTATATTATTCTGTGCCAGTTTTCCTGGAACCAAACAGTGTGAGGCTTATTGGGATCCTGGGCAAGATAGAAAGCCTCTTGTGCCAGCTTGGAGGATCCCTGCAAAGCAGGCGCTGTTTTGGGATTCCGCCCAAGCACCTCTCTTTCTGGGCAATGCTGGTTTGGACCATTTTCCCTCCCCTTTAAGACCTGTGCCAAATCCTGGCCAAACCAAACAGCGTAAGGATTCGATTGGCCTTGGGCTCCCGCCCTCCAAAGCTGTTGGCCTTGGAAGTTCAATACTTGAGCATCGTCTGACTGACTGACGCCCCCAAATCTTGTCTCAGGCTTGGAAGAATTCGCTCGCCCACAGAAGCTGAATTCTGATCAATTCTGGAACCTCATCTCGGCAGCGCACCGTCTCAGCAGGTAGCAATCGGCCTTGGCTCGCATCTATGCTCAAAAAAACGTGTGGTGCGCAAAAGAAAACCACGGCCTCCAAGCCGGTCCTCCTCGTCCTGGACAAATCACATAATTTGACCAGCATGGTTTGGATTGGTGCGGATGGCGGCGGTTCCCCCCTTTTTCCCAAAAGGGCTTGAAATCCCCAATCCAAGCTACCAAAGGTCAGCTGGCCATGGCTATGACTTCCAATAGGGGACCCCTTCAAAGACATCATTGGTGATTCATGTCATGTCCAATCATCTTAGAGGCATCTTTGAGGCTCCCTATTAAAATTCATAGCCTGAAGTCATTGCGTCTGGCCTCTACGCTCCATGGCCTGGCCTGAGCAACAGCGCGCGCAAAAGTCTGGAAGCGCGCTAAAGCTTGAGAATCTGTGGAGTGCCCTCAAATTTTCAAGACAATCCCAAAAACACATCGAATGAACTGATCTGAACCATTCTGAACCTGTGAATCTATCCATGAGAAAGGATTCAATGGTGAGACATGTTGCAGGCTGCAGTTGTGGTCACTGCTCGCCACAAATGGCATCAACACATGCCAGCAACGTCTGCTAAAAGCTAACTGAGGCAGCGACATCAGTCTCCATGAAATGGCCATCCACTCAAACTCACTCCGGGATGCGGCTAAACACAGCGATGTATGGATATATCATAAGTAGTATATGTAACCTGCCACTCCGTTCAAACTTGTTGTCAGAGAAATAACTACTCGTGTTGGTCAACCCCTTGCGATATGCTGCAACTTCAGCTTTGAGCCAAACGCAAGGACAATGGCTTCATTTTAGCAAGACATCCTCAAAACTTCCGGAGCCAAATCTTAAGTGCAGGTACTGGGTAAGGGAAACCACGTCCCAAAAGCAATTTCGAGAACCCCCTCATTCCTTTTCAGCTTAAGTGGCCCAGCCCATGACTCGCAGAAAATGCGAAGGCTTTCGCATTTGACGAGCACTGGAAGGGCGGACAGGCATTGCTTGACGGGGTTCTCCGCGGTCAACTCGCAGAGCATCATGATTCCACCTCTCTCCTATGGCACACGTTTGGGGAGTTATGAAAACATGGCCCCTTTTTTCCTGTTTGGTGCTGCCAGAAGGGTTTTAACCCCCCCCCATTTAGAATCTAGTTCTTGCACACCCTTCTTGCCGTTTGCCAAGTGCAACCAGTTGACCATCCATCCGTTAGTCCTTCCACTGAACTGCTTCAGCTTGCTCCACGATTCCACGTCGATGCACCTATCAAGGAAAACAATCTTTGTGAGGGTTGGCAAATTCAACTCACTTAAACCACCACACTGTTCAAGCAACCTCCTTTTCAAGGTGGTCAGGGTCTGGTCGTTTTTCATGGGTGTGATTTCTTCATTACGGACCCAGCTACTTTGCAGGGGGTCCCGATGGCAACTATTGCAACCTGCCCTGAACTGGCCTCAAGGAGATTGACTTTGTCGACGCAAACCAGCGCAGAGCCTGACATCTTTGGAACCCACTGGTTGCTTCACACAGCTGAACTCGAGCCAAAACTCGAGCCAAAGCCAATATTTGCTGCTTCCCCAGGTGACAGGATAGTGTAGGTGACTAGCCTTCCTTTGCCAATCATAGTTCGGAGATGGTAGCAGCAAATTCTAGTTGCCGCAAATGACCGTGAGCGTCGACTGTCCTTGGAGGGCTCGCTATATTCCCCGTACACATCACTTCACCCAAAGGAGACGAACTTAATAAATCGGCTAAGAAGGTGATGTTTAGAAAACAACGAATAGTAGGAGCAGGGGAATATCTCTGGACCTTTGTCGCATAGGCTGAGATTCGTGCGTTCGGATTCAACGGCATCTTGCAAGCTCTCTTTCACCGCCCTGCGGGGAGCCAGTGAACACTTTCTCTGGCAAGGCAGCTGTGTGCCATGTGCGGCACAGCATGGGTTTTAGGCGGATCTGCTTTAGAGCGTTTGCCTTAGCACCCCGGTAAGGAATTTTCATTTTACCAGCCGCAACCGCAAGTCAAGGGGGTCTTTGGACCACATGTTGCGTCGCTCAACCAACAGGTCTCCTCTGCAAGTTTCCCGCCTGAGGAAACACCACTTGGCTCTTGAGCCAAGAGCATGGTAGTGGTCCTGCGCATGGAGCAAGAAGGCATGGGCAGGTGTAAAAAAAAAGTTGCCCTTTTGGTTTCTCTTCACAACTGACCAGCAGGGTGTTCCTGAGAAAAAGACCCCCACACAAAAACAAAAACAAACAGAGACGCAAACACACACACACACACAAAAAAAAAACACACACACAAAAACACACACACACACACACACACACACACACACACACACACACACACACACACACACACACACACACACACACACACACACACACACACACACACACACACACACACACACACACACACACACACACACACACACACACACACACACACACACACACACACACACACACACACACACACACACACCACACACCACACACACACACACACACACACCACACACCACACACCACACACCACACACCACACACACACCACACACCACACACCACACACACACCACACACACACACCACACACAACACACAACACACAACACACAACACACAACACACAACACACAACACACAACACACAACACACAACACACAACACACAACACACAACACACAACACACAACACACAACACACAACACACAACACACAACACACAACACACAACACACAACACACAACACACAACACACAACACACAACACACAACACACAACACACAACACACAACACACAACACACAAACACAACACACAACACACAACACACAACACACAACACACAACACACAACACACACACACACACACACACACACACACAACACACACACACACACAACACACAACACACAACACACAACACACAACACACAACACACAACACACAACACAACACACAACACACAACACACAACACACAACACACAACACAAAACACACAACACACAACACACAACACACAACACACAACACACAACACACAACACACAACACACAACACACAACACACAACACACAACACACAAACACACAACACACAACACACAACACACAACACACAACACACAACACACAACACACAACACACAACACACAACACACAACACACAACACACAACACACAACACACAACACACAACACACACCAACAAACAAACACGCACGCAAAGACACACAACACACAAACAAACAACCAACCAAACAAACACACACGCACACACACACAAGCACAAACACGCACACGCACACGCACAAACACAAACAAACAAAATCACAAACTAACAAACAAACAAACAAACACACAAACAAACCAAACACGCACAAACAAACAAACAAAACACACACAAACAAACAAACACACACACACAAACACACAAGCACACAAGCACACAACACAAAAACACACAAACACACAAACACACAAACACACAAACACACACAAACACACAAACACACAAACACACAAACACACAAACACACAAACAAGCAAACAAACACACCAAACACGCACAAACAAACAAACAAACAAAGAAACAATCACACAAACAAACAAACCAAACACGCACAAACAAACAAACAAACAAAGAAACAAAGAAACAATCACACAAACAAACCAAACACGCACAAACAAACAAACAAACAAACAAACAAACAAACAAACAAAACACAAACAAACAAAGAAACAAAGAAACAAACAAACAAACAAACAAACAAACAAACAAACAAACAAACAAACACACAAACACACAAGCAACGCACAAACAAACAAAACAAACAAACAAAACAAACAAACAAACAAACACAAACAAACAAACAAACAAACAAACAAACAAACAAACAAACAAACAAACAAACAAACAAACACACATATGCGTAGAATTATCGCAATACTCTCCGTGCCATCTCCAAGACATGGCCCGAGTCCGCCAAGCTCTTTGCAACCAGCACCTCCATTTGTGATTGGTCTAGCCGAATTTTTTCCTGAGGGAAGTGTTTGAAATGACCGTGGCTCTGTCTCCTGGTTCAACCAGGCGCTGTCTTCAAAGGCAGCGCATAGCAAACGGCACAGCCTGCAAAGCAAGCGGCGCTTAGCCACAGTCTCTGCTGAGCTTGGGGGCGCACGTGCTTTTACCAGATCCTGGCATGCCGCTGATCACCAAGACAGCCGCAACGGCTTCTGCCTTGCCTGCAAAGGAGCGTGCAATGCGTATGCTTGCTTGGTTCTATTGCTCAGAATCATACCTGAAGCGACTGGCGATGGTCTTTACATCGCGGCAAGCAATCGGCCGACCCGGCCTCCGGGCAGACAGCCTGAAAACCGTATCACATCAGTCGCTCCGCAGCTTCAGTCTGATCCAAGGTTAGTGTTGGGAGGAACTGTCGATCTGAATCCCTAAACGGACATATGATTTTCTGCTCCAGTCTGGCGTGCAGCAATAGAGATTGTTTCTCCAGATGGTGGCGTTGCTTGGCACTTGAAGGGAAGCCCTAAGAAAACCAGGAAATTCTAGGGAACAATATTGAGAACCATCGGGCCGTCGGGCGCTTTGTTTCTGGCCTGAGTCCATCTTTGCGCCTAGACTTGCCAGAAGCTGTGTTGGTGCCGGCTTCAAACGAGCCATGTGCAACCGACATATGGCCATGGTCGGCCTTGAGCGTTGCAACCAAAGGCGCTTTGCAAGACACGAGTCAAACAGGACCGCACGAATCCAGCTGCAAACGTCTGCCCACGCAAAGCAGCAAACATCCCTTTCAACCATGAAGCCAAATATCTTGGCAGCTCTCACCCGCAGGACATCCCAATCATTCCATGCCTACTGCTTGACAGGTGCGCTACGCATTAGCCCTTGCAAATGGTCAAGCATGCACAAAGACATTGATAAATAGCGTCCATTACATTAGCATGCATTCACGTACGGAGTGCAACATCGTAAGCATTCTGCATTTTTGACAATGTTGTCCAAACATGAAACCAGAACAATGGAAAGCAGCTGCCCTGATCTGTGGCAGCATGGGCGCAAGGGACAGCAAGGGAAAGCAAGGCAAAGCAAGCAAGTCAAAGCAAGCAAGAAGCAATAAAAAGTCATCTGCAACATGCTCGCGACTAGAAAACTGCTAGAATCAAACCTCAAGCAAAAACCAACAACACACAATTGGCTGCAGTCTAGCGTGATCCTTGCACAACACATGCTCTGCATTTTTTCTGGTTCCCCCCCCCCCCAGGACGCTTCTTAACACGCCTCCAGCGACAAAATCGCTCTCCGTCATGAGGGTTCACAAAGAAAGGATCTACATCACTGTGAGCTTGTTTTACCCTCCAATCGGTGAGCTCGCTAGAAAATTGGCAGAATCATTGCAAGCATTGCAAAGCCAGCAATGCCTTCCCAAACGCAACGCTCTAGAGATTCCGTCTGTCCTGACACGACTTTGCTCCACAGAGATGGAGTGCGCTTCCAGCGTTTCCAGCACATCACGGCCTCTTCTCATGGCCAAGTTGGCGCAGTAGGGACAAATCTAGGGCCCCGTCCCCCTTCTTAGAAG